AGGGATTTGTTCTAATGGTATTTGTAAATAGGATATCATATCCGCATCTTGTACAGCAATTAACCACTAGGAAGAATGTATGCAATGTGTTAATTATTGAGACTGTCCTACCAATTTGATTTGAAACTCTCTCATTGCTATTTGCTTCTCAATAAAATTATGAAAAAAAGAAAAAAAGAAAAGAAAGTAGCAAGGCAACAAAGGATAACCACAGCTCTTTCTGTCTCTTACATCTTAAACAGTATACCTGTCATTAGGATGGGTAGCACTCACAGCTTTAATCTTAGTGCCCTGACCCTAGCATTACACCATGAATCAAGCTCAGTGTCACATACTCTAGATCCATCCACCTCAGATAAAGCTCCAACTATGACCACATGAGGCTGTAAGGGGATAAGCCATAACACCTGGCATTCTTAGGAGGTGTTTTAAATTATCTGAAGTCTTCAGCAATGTCTCCTTTGAGTAACTAGAGAGTTCCCATTTACCTTATAATTTTGAATATCAGGTGAGATAGTTGCAATAAGTAGCTCACAGCAAGCACTCAGGAACAGTGTTATTCTGATATCATGACCCAAGTGGATTAAAATGTGAGAACACAGCCAGAAAAGATACCAGGAAGAGGGTGTGATGGTACAAGCAGACCTGGGCTATGTGGAGTTGAATGTGAGCTTTGGGGTGACAGCAGCTGGTGCTATTTTCTAACACAGCATAAGTGTGTATGTGGCAGGATTTCTATATGTGTTCCCTACTTTTGAGAAGGTTGTAAGGGGCCAGGAGATAGCTTAGCAGCATAAGTACCTGCCTGGCAAGCACAAGGTTCTGAGTTCAATCACAGGTACAAAAAAAAAAAAAGTTGTAAGACTCAGATCTAGTCATCCCATGATCAGTTTTTAAGATTGCTATGTGCAAGAACTGGCTGTAACGGATTAAAAAGGTACTGGATAGGGCCCTGTTCCCCAGGAGGTTACACCTAGATGAGTGTGATCAGCTGGTTAATCAAGTGGCCTCATGCAAATCACAAATAACACCTTGTTTTTGTTTTTGGTTTTTGTTTTAATTTAAAATTATTGACAAATTGGGGCTGGTGAGATGGCTCAGTGGTCTAAAGCACCGACTTAGAACAAGCTTGGCAAAGCACAGGGACCTCGGTTCAATCCCCCAGCACCACATGCCAGCCAGCCCCGCCCCCTGGTGGGCTGAGCTGGCCACACACACACACACACACACACACACACACACAAATAAATAAATAAATTTAAAAAAAATTATTGACAAATTAGGCCAGCCAAATAACTCAGTGGGCTGGAGGTTTGATCCCTGGGCCTATCATGCTGGCTCCACTCCTGGGGAGCCCTGAGAGGGCAATTGAGACTAGGCATGGTGGCACGCACCTGTAATCCCAGCTCTTGGGAGGCTGTAAACAGGCAGATCACTATAAGTCTAATCTAGTAGTAAGACCCTGAACACCCTGTAGACCCTTCCCTAAAATACCAAAAAAAAAAAAAAAAAAAAAAAATTGACAAATTAAAAATTGGAATTTTTAAAATTTTTTGAGATAGGGTCTCCCTGTGTAGTCCATGGACGGCCTTGATCTTGCTCTGAAGATCACCCACCCAGCTAGCCCCAGAGTTCCAACTACATTCACTCCAACTCCAGAATCCCTGCTCTTGGCCAGTGTGCTCTAGTTTCATTTATGGCGGAGGTGCAATCTGATGAATGCTATTGAGATCACAGGCTCTCCTTATGAACTGTCATGGCTTGATATTTCATCCCTCTGTAAGAGCCAAATAGTTAACCCTTCCAGACCTCAGCCCCTTACTCCTAAAGAGGACGCATTACCTATGTCTTCGCACTGGTAGATGAGACAATGCAGGAGAAGAAGCACAAAGAAAGCTCTTAGTCAATGGTAGAGGCCGTTAGCATCATCTCCGCCACTGTTGTCATCATAATGTGTCTACTATATGAATATATTAATTTTCAGATGAGAAGAACAGTTGGAAAATTTCAACGGATTTAGGAGAAAGCAAAATCTCAATTGAGCATAGAGAAATTACCTGGGATAGGAAGGATGCAAGTTCTAAGGAAGTACTCTACCACTGAGCTACATTCCCAGACCAAGCCAGTTCTAAAATATGCCTTATTCCCTGTCACTGTTCAGAGGCAGAATATCTGTACAAAGGCTCCTCACATGCGCACAGCCCCTCTCCACTTCCCTAAACTCTTCTCGGCTCAGGCCAGCTTTGAACTCATGGTACTCCTGCCTCAGTCTCCCAAATGCTTGGATTCCAGACACGTGTCACAATTTCCAGCTGGGAGTTTTCTATTAAAGTAAGAATTCTCAGCTTTTCTTCCCAATTTTGCTAGATCTGGCAAAACTGAGCCTGGGTTCTTACAGGTTACCACCTGGCTGCCCCTTGAAACAGAGCATGATGGGCTGAATCAGTCTCCCCGAAGTTTATCTGTTGAAATCCTAACCCCTGGAGTCTCAGAATGGGGCTATAGTTGGAGCTGAAAGTATTAAAAAGGTAATTACAGTAACAGGAGTCACATGAGTAGGTTCTAATCCACTATGCCCTGCAGCCTTGTAAAAAGTGGAGATTAGGACACAGACATACACAGAGGGTCAATCATGCGAAGAAACAGTAAGAAGAACGGAGGCCAGGTGTGAGGCATCAGACCCGCCAATACATTTATCACGGACTTCCTGCCTTAGAAACTGATAAAGGTCTGTACCCCGCCTATGGCACCCTGTGTTAGGAACCTGAGTGGATTAAGATATGAGGCTCTATTCTTGAGCAGACAGCTGTTGCAACTCCTGGTGCCACTGATCCCACTTATGGACAGTGCCTGCTGGCATCTGGACTTGCAACTCTGACCTAGAGGGAAAAAGCTATGCTTTTCTGTCTATGTCACAACTCCTTCCTTCGTTGTTTTGATGTTTTAGCTTCTTTAATTATTCCTACACTTCTAAAAGCTGATGTCACCGCCATTTAGCAGAAGACAGCGTAGCCCAGATAAATAAAACATTGTACTTCCCAGGTCAAAGATACCCAGAAACTAGGCTTGCTGACTCCAGACCTGGTGCTGAGCTCCCTGCTCACAGAAGAGTTATTGACAGTGTAGTGATGCATGCGGTACAGAAGAAGGCATTTATGAGTGAACAAATCTGGGAAGGATTTTTGGCTTGAAAAAAAATTGGCATAGAGTTTCTTTCAAACTCTAGGATTGAGCTTGATGGACAGAAATCAGATTTATGCACGAGTTCCTCTCATGGGGGCCAAGTAAGGGTGGCAGAGTCTGAGGAAGGTTGGGAAGTTGTGAACGTCTCTTCCCCAATCATGGACATTTGGGAGCAGGTGACTGAGACTGTGGAAAAATGTCCAATCAGCAGGGGGAGGAGGAGAGAGGAAGCAGAGGGACAAGAAAGGACGGCGGGATCTGCAGAGAAGAACATGAGTGCTCAGGAGTTCACTGAACAGCTGACAGAGGCAGGAAGAGCTCTGAAGATGATGGAAGACATGTGGCGAGAGTCCCAGTTCACGCACACAGCGATGTGCTGTAAGATCCAGTGGGTCACCTGCAGATATGTAGACATGGTCAAGATTCCTTGCTAAGAGGAAAAAGCCAGTTGCAGAATGGAATGCAAGTGAGTACATATGGAGAATTATTCTAAATGTCCATATAATAAACATTATGGACATTCCATAAAGGACACAAAATCTTGTTCAAGGCATTACCTTTCAAATTGGGAAGGCTTTTACTTTTCACCTTTCTGAAATGTCTGAATTTCTTAAAATGAGCGCCAGTAGTTTTATAACTTTTAAAACAAAAGGTAACCCTAATGTTTAAGGATTGTTCACCACATAAGGATGATGTCATTGCTTGGAGATGGCAGAGGCTGGCCACAGGACTGAGGGCACATGATGTGTCAGGATGAAGGTCAGTGTGATGACCCCAAAGGGGTGGGCTCTTGGGACTTGGTGAATGGAAGCAGAGGAATGGAAGTCATTACTGGGTAAAAACAGTCCCACACAGCTGGGACAGCAGAAACAGGAAGTTTTAGTGGTGCTGACTGGGCATTAGGCTTCCCTGGTTGTGTGGAGTACACTGTCACCGACACTGCCGCTGGGTCAGTGTGGTGAGAACAAGGATCTCTGGAGATGGCGGTCCCAAGAAGAGAAGTCTGAAAGGCTCTGAGAGATCCGTTTATGTTCAAAGAGCAGAGGAAGAGCTGGGGGTAGAACTCAGTAGGACGGAGCCTTTTTAGCCCTGGTTCAAGCCCCTGTACTGCAGACCACCACCACCACCACAACAACAACAACAACAACGACAAAACCCAAAAGCAGAGGAGAGGGTGCATAAAGGGCTTAGGGCGGTGGAGCCAGGTTAAGCTGAGAGAAGGTCCTGGGGTGGGGCGGTGGCAGGGGGATGGAGAAATAAGCTCAAAGGAGACGAAGACAATCCTTGCGGAGAGGCAGTGTGAGGAAGGAGGGAGAGAGGCGTTGGCGCGAGCTGGTGCTATCTCTTGCCTTTGCGCTGGGTCTCCCCAACTGTACACTGTAGTTAAAAAAGTGTGAAGAGCGAATTGTAGTAATGCACTCAGTGAAGTTAACTGGGATTATGAGCCCCCGACTCAAGGGTTCGGTCCCTGGCGGTGCAGCCGAGACCAGTCCCTCTCTTGTAGCCGGAACGACCTGTTGCCGAGGCAGTGAAAGCCAGTGGAAGGGACTGTCGGGACTCGGCGCACAGCAGGCGCTCGGTGCGCGGCAGACCCGGGAGTTACTGCTGCAGGGGTCCTTACCCAGCTCGGAGCGTCGTACACAGGCAGGCCTTAAGGAACGTTAATTCGCGTTAGGTCTGTACAGCAAGGAAGGGCTGCCCAGCCCAAAGTGAGGGGCCGCTCGCAGCGCTCGCGCTTCCGCCCCCGCGCCCCATCGCCCCCAGCACCTCCGCTTCTCCCCCAATCCCGCCAGCTGCTCTCGGCGCAGGACACTCACCCTCCGCGCCCAGCCTGGTCCAGGGACGTCCGGACCCACCGAGGGAGTGCTCTGTGGCGCTTGGCTTCCCTGCCTCTCTCGGCGGCCGTCACAGCCCTACGCTGGCCCCAGGCAGAGTTTTCCCGTCCCGTCAGGGGCCGGAGCCTCCCCTCTGTCACGTGGGCTGGCCCACGGCTCCCAGCTCCCTCACATGGGCTTGGAGAAAGCTTACAACGCTGGTGACAGCTGAGTGTGTCACTGTTTCTCTATGTGTAGACTTGTCAGTGTATCTGAAGGTTTGGGGCTGAAGGATATTATATCCCTGCCTTTGCGAGTATGCATGTGTCCTAAGAGAGGTTCGCAGGCGCCCTCAAACATCTGTCTAGGGTGGGTCTGAGGGTGTGAGTAGCCCCTGATAGGTTTCAACAGGAGCACATTTCCCAGGTGCTGAGCGTGCTGGTACTTGAGCTTGGATTTGAGTCTGATGCAGATGTTTAGTAAGCAGTGTGCATGTGCCTGTGTCCGTGTGGGGCCCGGGTGTGCACATAAGCGTGTACGTGTGGCAGGCGGCTGCTGCAGCTTGGTGTGGAACTGGAGTGCCCTTCATACCCAGGGTATCCGATAGTGGCTGGATGCCCACCTGTGCACTGGGTGCATGTTTAGATGTGTAAACGAGTGTGCACAGACACGCACCTATGTGAGTGTGTACACTGTGTGGCATCAGTGTGCAGTGGCTCCCCTGTGGACACGAGCATGGGCCTTGGTGCAGGTTTCGTCCTGCTGTGAGTGTGCACACAGGGGTAGTGTAGGTCGGTGTCCCCGTGTCCCTCATCTCTCTGCCCCCGGAAGGGGGATGCTCTCCTGGCCTGGCTCTCTCCTGCTGAGCCTCTAGTGGCTGGGCGAGGCCAGCTGTACCTGAGGCCTCCCTCCCAGGCCAAGCAGAGAGAGCCTGTTAGGTAGCAGGCAGACAAAGGAGGAAAGAAAGCTCTTTGGAGGCTTGGCTTTGCCCTCTTCCTGCTCCTCCTTCTGGTCTCTTCCATAAGTTGAGGGTAATTCCCTGAGCTGTCAGAGCATCTGGTTACCAGCTGGTATGTGATGCCGAGTGTGCAGGCAGAAATTTAAAGCAGAGACATGCCCTGACTCCTAGTGCTGCCCCCTGCCCCAGAAAAGTGGGGAGAGGAATAAATATTACCTGCACTGTTCCTCCCCACAGATGCAGATGTTTAGTAAGCAGTGTGCATGTGCCTGTGTTGGGACACTCGCCCTTGAAGGGATCTGGTAAGTTATTGAACTATATAGACAATTGTGACAAAAGTAGTATTTGAAAATACAAGTTTAATGTGACTGCAATACATATTAAAAATCATTTATGTGTCAGTCTCTGTCTTAGTCATGTTCTTGTTGCTGGGACTCTGTACCCAACACAGACAAATTAGAGGAGGTTTATTTTGGCTCATGGCCCTGGCTAACAGCAAGTCAGCTCTGATGCCCCCACTGTCTAGTCACCTTCACACCTGTGAGGCATTGGGGCCACTTTAGGTCTAAGCCATAATGGTACCAAGCTGGGTATGGGGTCACAGAGGAGGGACAATTAGGCTCAGCACCTACCTTCATGGAACTTATGGTCTGGCCATGTGGTCACAAGTGAAATGAATGCCATGAGGAGAAATGTTGAGGATAAAGCTGGCCACCAGGGGAAGTCCACGAAAGTGATGCTTCAGGTGAGCCTTGAGGGATGGCAGGATTGTTGGGTGTCTTGGAGGTGTGAATTGTGCACATGGATGAAGGAGGACAGGAGCTTAGGGCTTAGCAGGTCAGCTGAGATGACTGGAAGAGGATCCTCCATGGAGCAGCTGTCCTGGGTCCCTTGGGTTGTTCCTTGATGTGCCCGGGAGGGACAAGTAAAGAAACCCTGCTTGGGACTCTTGGACGCCATCCAGAGTCTCATGCACTCAGGAAAGCCCTCTCGTAGGACTCTGCATCTGCACAGCTTCTCTGGGGCAGAAGCTGAAGTCACTGGCATGCTGTTATTGGTAAGGAAATGGTCAGGGAACAGTGAGGGAAAGGCCGTGCTGCCGGACTGGACGCATTTAATAACTGTTTGCTGACTGAATGAATGGGGCAGATGGCTTTTGAACTTTCTGAGGAGACCTGATCCTGTGGTCCCCTGAAATAAGGAGATCCTCCAGGCCTCGTACTATGGGTCCCACTGCAGCAATTCAAAATATTTGTCAAGTGGCAGCTCCAGGGGCTATAGGAGTTGCCTCGAGTTGGAATGGAGCTCAGTCCTCTTCTCCCTAGCCTGTTTCTGTCTTTATTAATTCAGGAATTTCTTTTTTTATTTCCAATCTGAGGTCCTCTATACCTTTCTGCAGCTGTTT